GAGATCCTATGTTTGGATTTTTATAACCACAAAATAGACCTCTTTTGTTGTTTAGAAGGGCTCCTGAATCACGTTGTTAGTAATTGACCCGACCAGGCCAGACCCCGAAATTCAAGGAGTAGGTAAGTTTGTAAATAAATAGATGCGCAAATGACTGAGAGTAGCGACGAGCTTCATAGGTGGTGGTCTTTGAAGCGGCCATTTTCGAACTCCGATTTATTTAAAAATATTCAGGTTCTAGATTGTGTTACTAATAAACTTTGTATATATTGTGTTACGTTTTTGTTTTTGTTTTCTTGCGTTTTACACTACGTTAGGTCTCATGATACTCTTGTCAGATACTTAAAACGTTGATGCAAACGATCTTCATGCTCATTTTCAGGTTGAAAAATGGAATCGGAGATGGATCCTCTCAAGGTTGAGATTCTACCTGACCACCAATCATCGCCCTACACTTTCACTAAGCCCAAGTCTAACCCCAAGAAATCGATTATCTTGATAATCGTTGCTTCCATCGTTTCCTTCGCTATCACGTTAGGGTTATTATTTGTTTTAGCTCCGGTTTTACTCTCCGGATGGACAAGTTCGTTCCGGTACAGCGCTGTTATCGATGCCGGGAGTTCGGGGAGCCGGATCCATGTGTTCAGGTACTGGATTAAGTCCGGGAAACCGGTTTTCGATTTCGGTGCGGAGAATTACGCTAGTTTGAAGCTGAATCCTGGTTTATCGGCGTATGCTGATAATCCAGAGGAAGCAAGCGTGTCAGTCACGGAGCTTGTGGAATTCGCGAAAGGGAGAATTCCAAAGCGAAGTTTGAAAGAGAGTGATATTATGTTAATGGCGACCGCTGGAATGAGATTGCTTGACGTAAATGTTCAAGAACAGATTCTTGAAGTTACAAGAAGAGTTCTTAGATCTTCTGGGTTTAAGTTCCAAGACGAATGGGCAAGAGTTATCTCTGGTTAGTTTTTCAAATCAATTCTTTTTATTCGATAAAATGCGATTTAAGATCAGGGTTAAAGTTTACTTTTCTTTGGAGTTCTTGTGACTCTTTGTTGTTAGTATTGTTGGAGTGGTTTGGATTTATGTTCCAATAAGGGTATTTTGAAGTTTCATTTTGTTTCATCTTGTGCCTATCGACCAGGCACTAATTAATTATTAGAAATCTTGGGAAATTTTCCAGGATCTGATGAAGGTATATATGCTTGGGTTGTTGCAAACTATGCGGTCGGTTCGCTTGGAAGCGATCCTTTGCAAACAACCGGGATTGTTGAACTCGGTGGTGCTTCTGCTCAGGTTTAGTCTCTTCCTTGTCATATTTGTGAGACTAATTAGAAACTTCAACTATGTGGTAATTAAATGGTTGATTGTAAGCAAAATATGTTTGTGCATGTGCTTAGGTGACATTTGTGTCGAGTGAGAATGTGCCTCCTGAGTTCTCGCGTACGATAACTTATGGAAATGTTTCATACACTATCTACAGTCACAGCTTCCTCCACCTTGGACAGGTAATAATTTTTTTAAACAGAAAATATTGTCTTTGAGTACTTGTTTTCTTTGGTGCATCCATTTTATATTAAAAAAAGTTAAGACACATGATGCTACTACCAAAACAAATGGTTTTTATCCATTTGTTAATGTTTACGAGAATGTTGTTATTGACTCCAAACCGAAATTGAAATGTTTGTGGAGTAGTATACAAAGTTCATGATTCTTTGAATGTTTATTGACTCAAATCCGAAATTGAGATATTTGTGGAGTAGGGTATAAATTTGAAGAACCTATTATTATCTTTTGTCGTTTTGCAGAATGAAGCACATCAAAGGTTATGGGAATCACTTCACAAGTCAGGTTAATTGTTGATCAACAATTATGTAGACTTACTCAAATTTCACTTTCTGAGTTTAACCAATTTAATATATGCATATTTTCCCTCAAAACTCAATATACATTGTTTCAATCCTTGCAGCTGCAAACTCTACAGAGGATGAAATAGTTACTGACCCTTGTACTCCTAAAGGATACACTTACGAGAACAATTCACAGAAGCATTCATCACGAATCTTAGCTGAAGAAAGTAGATTAACAGGCTCACTTCAAGCTTTTGGTAACTTCTCAAAATGCCGATCCGCTACATTCGCAATGTTGCAAGCAGGAAATGGTAATAAGATCATTATCGGTATATAGCTGAATATTGTTTCTCGTGCCAATTTTCCTTCATCTCTCATGGTGCTTTTGTATACAGAGAATTGTCCTTATAAGCATTGTTCTATTGGATCAACATACACACCTGATCTTCAAGGACATTTTTTTGCTACATCAAATTTCTACTACACCTCAACAGTATAATTAATAATCCTTTTCAATTTCATATTGGTCCAAGTTAAGATTTCATTTTAAGGAAAAAAATTTGAACATTAATTTTTCTTATGTTTATGTATGAATCAGTTCTTTGAGTTGCATGAAAAGGATTGGTTGGCTGAAATGATTCCAGCCGGAAGGAGATACTGTAAAGAAGAATGGTCCAAACTGAAAGAGAAATATCCAACAACTAAAGAAGAATACTTGCTTGGTTATTGCTTCTCAACAGCTTATATTATCTCAATGCTTCATGATAGTCTTGGTTTTGCTCTTAATGATGGAAGGTAAATGTTACTAAACAAATTCAAGAACAATTAGATCAATCAATGTTGTATTTGGATTTAGGGTTTTGATCAAAAGCTATGTTTGTTTTGTTTGCAGAATCGAGTTTGCGAATAAAGCAGGAGAAAAGGAGATACCACTAGATTGGGCATTGGGGGCTTTTATCGTACAAACTTCCAGAGAGCACACTTCTGATTACAGTGGTAAATCTAGGAAAATGGTTGGATTCATGAGTAACGTAGCCAAATTCAAAGTATGATATTGATTGCTATAAAATATCATGTTTCCAATAAAAGCTAGTCAATTTGTATGTGATGTTTAAGTTAACTTGTGTTTTGAAACTATTGTCGTCGTTTCTTTTAATGATGAAATAAATTAGCTACTAAAAAAAATTCGACATTTTAATAAAACATTGCGACCTTACAATTGTTGAAAATGCCAATCATAATATCCCTGTTCAATATTACTTTCTTTTTTTTACATGTTCAATATTACTTTATTTTAAAAAAATTGAGATTACGTTCTTTCAACTATTCAAGTATGCAAAACTAAAAGATACTCCCTCCATTTCTAAAAGATAGATATTTTGGTATTTTT